CAGCCCCCCGGGGGGGGGGGTTGGTTTCCTTGGAGGTCAGGTAGAGCTCCCCCGTAGGTTTTGATCCCTAAAAACACGTATAACATTGCTGAAATCCGTACCCTGTTGCCTGACTTGGTCAATGATTTGCCTTCAATCGGCAGGGTATGCAAAATGACTGTCGTGACGCACGAATAGTGGTATTAGAATTTTGCATTAAGATTACACAGTGGGTTGAAGGCGCTCTTCTGTATCGTATCTTAGTGGCCCTGTACAACGATGTTTAGTAGAAATGTTCAGAATTTTTGAGTCTTCAATCGAGCCCGTAATTTCAAAAATGCCCGAAGAACATTATTGCACGTTTCGAGATTTTTTTTTCTCTAAGTCCTATTTAAAAAAAGATTGTCCAAATCCTCGGTTTTCGTGGCTGTTTTCAAGTCTTTTTGCTTCGATCATCGTAATTTCATGCAAGACTGAGAAAGTCGATGTCTACAAGATCGCAAATTACTTAAAAGCGGTTGTGAATTTAGTAAGCTTCGCACGGTTAAAATGAGCTTTAGGCGATGAACTGTGAATAATCAGAATTGAAGAAAAGGTACTTTGTCCATTGGTCCATTTGAAAGGCGTAAAGCGTGAATGGAGGGATCATGGATGTCCTCTGGGTTTCTATGAGCACTAGATGGCTGCAGGTTTCTAACGGTATACATGCCAAAGTGTTGGGGGAAAAATCGAAAAAAGAAGTATTACCTACATAATTTTTTGAGGGTCCTCACAGGGACGATATATTCTAAAGACTACGCACTGTCTTCTTAACTATGGTGTAAAAGTTACTCAAGGAAGCCAATCCTCTGATTCACTTATTGGTGACTCACGGTATGGGATCAACTAAAGCTTCTAAACAAGTTTTAGGTATGAATAAACTCTATTTTTGATCTTAACAATCAAGATCAGGCGTATTATGCACGGAAATGCGTATCTCGTGATGAAATGTCATATTTTCCAATCATACAATGCTTGATCTGGCCATATGAGATCAAAATAAAGATTATCTGATGAGAAAATCTAAGCGTGAAACCATTTTTTCAGTCTTTAGATGATCCAAATCCGCCAACAACAGGTTTAAAACACTAGTTGCAAAAATGCGTATCTCGCGATGAAGTGTCAATTCTTAGTGCCGAAAACGCGAATCTCGGCATTTCTGCCGTATTTTCTAACATTTCGAAAATTATTCAAAATGCTGATGGAGTCTGAAAAATCATTTTATTTTTGCTATCTTCAAGAATTATTCCCCTTCTACTAACAATAAAGAGGAATGTAGACAGATTTTTTTACTCTCCTGGAAAATCGTGTTTTCCGAGATTCACACTTCTGCACTTTCACCATCGATATAACATATAACATAAATATACATTAGGTCGGTCAAATTATATATGCCAACATTTCTTTTGCAAATTTCTTTGGTCTTACCCCTGAAATCGATCCATTTGATCAAAAAGACTCTTTGCCAAGTTTTAGACCGAATTTTTTGACCGAACACATCACCGAGGACTTTGTGAATTTTCCTTTAATATAAAGAATACATTCACAGAATTTCCAGTTAGATTGTTGTACAGTTTCCAGGCAAAAAATACAAATAAAGGAAAATAAAGCATGAAACGCGATGAGGCATTGGGGTGGTAACGTTGAGTCTCATTAAATTTGTCCAAATTTAAAGGCAAATCTATGATTTATTTGCTACATTAACTGCACCGAAGAAAAAGTGAGGTTGATTTAACATTCTGGATGTAAAAAAAAGTGCAAGAACTTCTAAAACGCTGATTCACCCACCACAGCAGTTAGTATTACATCTTGGCATTGCTATAGTAACTGCTGAAGCGGGTAATTCACCATTTTGTAAGTTCTCGCACGCTTTTCTTACATCCAGAATATTAAATCAACTTCACTTTTTTTTCGGTGTCGGTCACTTTTGAACTGAATTTTTTCTCCGCTTCGTCTCGATAACGTCACCTTCTGGCCAAAGAAGCGCCATGCGACGTTTTTAAAGTTTCTGGCGCCATGTAACTTTGTTACAGAGAAATTGATGGTTGAATCTGTTTGAAAATGTCATAGAATTTTATCGGCAGCACAAAGAAAATTCTGTGATGTTTGCGAACAGATGGCGCGGGTGATACTTTGGCCGAAAGGTGACGAAATATGTGGCGTGGCATGCTTTGCGATCTATCGATATTTCTCCATTTGAAGCTGTGGTAAATAATCGATTGTGTCCACTGCAAACACCCTATTTATCGATACTTTTTTATAGGTTTAAATGGCAGATCAATCGATATATTGCAAAGCTTGTCAAGCCACGGGACGAAATGCTGATTCTTGCGAGTTTTTGGGTTTCATGCACAAACGAGCGCAAAAGAGTCATTTTTTTCTGGCTCTAGTTCGTATTACGCAGCGAAACACGTGGAGCTAACACCGTCCGTGGAAAATAACAGGTGATCCGAGATCCTTTCAAGAGTATCGCGTCTCAGCCTCAGGTAACTTGAAAATATTCACGAGTCTCTCTTCACCTTCCAGGCGTTCCTTTCGTTGTGTCTATGCCGCACTTCTACCTCTCAGATCCAGAATACGTCAATGCGGTCGGCGGACTAAGTCCTCGCAAAGAGGAACACGAAGTTGTCTTCGTTGTTGAGCCCGTAAGTATCTCATCAAATCATCGACCAATCAATTGAACCGATCACGGAGAAAAAGAACACAGTTATTCGACGGTTACCACAGTAATAATGTCACACGGGATTCCACGTTAGCGGAACCGGGAATTTTGGTAATATTATTGATGAGCACCATCGTGCATAACCATGCTCATAATAGTATGTCTGTGCCCACAGTAATATTATGGTGAACAAGGTCATATCACCGTGCTCATCGTTACAAGAATCAAAATCCACGGTTCTACTACCGTGGAGTCCCGTGTGACATCACTACCATTATAACGGTAGAATAACTGTGTTTTTTTCTTGGTGATTATTTATCAAATCACGAAATCGAAAATCTCTATTTTCACAAACTGATAGCACCTAACAGCGTATCTCTTTGAGAGAAAATTGTGATTGAATGAGCTTTTCTCTCTGAATTAGATTCCCAGTTTTTTATGTCAATGCGCGTTGGCTGAAAATTCCAACTTACTGTCTATAATCTCTATTTTTGTAGTAAAGTAGTTGTTTTTTTCTGTTTTTTCTGGTATAATCAATTATGTCTTATTTCAAAATATGCTTCTAAAAGAGCATATATTTTTGAGAGGGTTAGATGGTAACTAGAACGTACCATGAATATATTTATTATTGGTCAACTTCATTGAATCGAATACCTTCCATTAAACCACATTGTATAAAATACAACCTACATTTATAAGACGTGGATTGGATCTGAGGTATTTTACGTGAATTTGGAGTAATACTTATGGAAAAAACCCAGCAATATTATGTTTGAATTTACAGAAGTATGTGTTAATTTTTAAAACATTTCAGATGTCCGGCACTCCTACAATGGCCAAACGGAGGGTTCAGTTCAATATCATTTTATCTAGAAATTCTGAAATAGCACTACTGCATGATTTGAACGAAAAGCAAGTAATACTGCCGCTATTTTGGGTCGATGAGGTACTGCATTTATGTTCATGTATAGCCTACTTTGATTCATTCGTAGTGATCTTGAATTGAGTGGCTCGTATAGAACATGGCGCATCATAGTATTTTTTGCTAAATCCAGAAATACGCGTTTAAAGTTTCAAAATTAGATGGAGCCTCATGGCGAAAAGAAAGTTCAAACTCACTTTTTGATGCTTAAAAATCTGTATTTAGGCGTGCATTTCTCATAGTATATTTATTGAGACTGGTTGATATAATTAAGATCCCAATTTTTCTTCGAAAACTGCACTCATGCGCCTTGTCCTCCAAGCCCCTCAATTTAAAACTCATAACAACATAGAAATGTTTTTTGCAATTTTGATGTAAATCAATTGAAGTTCCAGTGAATGACCAATGATCATTAAGTTGAAAAATTATTTTTTATTTTACATTAATCACTCCTTTATATTATAAAACGATCGAAATGTCAACAAAACTTTTTATCGCGAATTTGTTGAAAATAAAATGATAAATGGCCGCTCTAAGACAATTAAGAGGATATCAATCACGTCAAGAAAATTGAAAATTATATTAAAGCATATGAAGTTAGCAGACTGTGAAATTAGAATGCTATTCTCAGGTGTATAACATTGGATGTATCACGCTGTCTTCTCAAAGACCTTCGGACGAAAACCAAAGACATCTGAAATCTTATTGTATATCGCAAACAAATCGTAAAATCAGGCATTTTGAAAAATGTCTAGGAGATTAATTGTCAATTATTCTTCCTTGGATTAAAATCACGATTCTTTGCCTAATTTCAGACAAAATAATTCATTTCTCCTGCAAAAATTATTCTCTGTAAAAATGTGCCGAAAAGATTTTTAGTTTAAAAGATTTTTAGCTCCTGGACTAACAGTTATCTTGAAATTTCAAGCACGTCAAAAAAAACTTTTTCTTAGAATTTTAATATTTACATGTATAAGAACCATATGTATAAAGAGAATCGAGCAAAGAGAGTTGGTATATTCGATAAGTTATTTTTGCCCAAATATTGTAAACTCATGAAATCCACACCATAAATCTACAGAACTTCGTAAACTGTCGAGACTGTGTGCCTAAGCATTCGATAAAATGTCTAATTTGACTAATTGCCTGCGACTTGTAACTTTAATCATTGATTTTAGCAAACCCATTATCATCTCTGCACTGTTAACAATTTTGCTTTTGCAGGGGGTTGAGCTTGGAGAGAAATATTTGAGTCAACTGAGAATGCTAACCGGACTGCCAGGGATGGTGAACATAGGAGCTATCGTCATAGAGCTGATTGCTGGAGGTCTTGTCATAGCCGCTATGTATATCAAGTTTGGACGTGCTCGTATGGGGAAACAATCTCCAGAAGGAAACAACTAGTGAACATAAAAAGCGAGGGAAAACGTTTGCACCCTGGTAATAAAAGCTTGGTTATGTGTGACAGTGTGGTAAGGTTCTCCGTATCGGCCGTGATATTTGGTTCATGTAACCGTTCACTCTCGATGGAGAATTTGCACACACAAATTTTTTTGCTTCATCTGAGAGTGCTAAATGAGCTGAGTTCGAAGTGTTTTTCATAATTTTTCTCTGACATGGGAAATTGGAGAGAACTAAATTTGAAAGTGAGAAAATGTGCCGCCTCATGACGTCATCCGGCAACATTTTACATTTGAACACATATATTTTAGCAGCTTAGGTTATTTTGTCATATTTCCTGCAACAATTGTCCAATTTAGAAAACATGGATATCCTCGTACTCAGTTTTCCTAGCAGTCATGCCAAACCGGGGTTATGGGGGTCCGATGTTTACAGTCCAAAAAATCCGTCTTTTTGAGGTTCTTATCTTCGTAAGACTTTAAGTATGACTTTTTCATCGTATGTACTGAGAGACTGAGACTCACAGTGACAAATAAATGACATATTTCCTTGGAGTACATATAACTCGTTTTAATTCCTCCTCTTCGACGAATACTCTTTAAATAAAAATGCAGAAATAGCTTCACTGTGCATCGACGCATTTTAAGTAAATTTAACAATTCAGAAGTACAATTTCTGGTTCAGTTTATAAATGATGTATATGCCACCAGTTTCCGTATGCACAAAAGTGTTTTTACAAATAAGCCAGAAATTCCCAATTGCAAAATGTAGTTCAAAAACCAGGACCAGCCAAACTGTAATGGACCACTAGACAAGGTATGAATTTAAGCGATCTGATACATGTTTCTTAACATGAATTTCACGTAAAAAACGATTCACACAACGAACATTACGGAAACCAACTCCTAACGAAGATATTAACGTTTTTATTTCACATTGGTTACGAGGAATTTGAACTGCCCGCTCACAAGAAACTCAAAACTCTACGTGAGTCAAATCGCCCACTACAACGGTTTCAGCAAGCTTCTCAATCGAGCAATGCTCATTTCCCATCATGTGTTGTTCAAACTATTAGCAATTTGCTATAACTGAGCCAAAGCGTCAAGATTGAGGTTGCCAGATTTTTATATCGCAGAGACTGTCATGAGAACGTTCAGCGCGCGATGTGAATCACGTAGAGCATTGAGTTTTCATGAGCGGGTGGTTTGAATTCACGCATTAAGAATCATTAAATATCTTTGTGAGGAGTTAATTTCGGTAATTTTCGTTGTGTGCATCGTGTTTTACGTAAAATTTTGGTTAAGAAACATGTATCAGAATGCTGAAATTCGTACCTTATCTAGTGGTCCATTGGACTGAATTTTGCAATGAGGAACTACAATGGACCACTAGATAAGGTACGCATTTCAGTATTCTGATACATGTTTCTTAACCAAAATTTTACGTAGAACACGATGCACACAACGAAAATTACCGAAACTAACTCCTTACGATGATATTTAATGATTCTTGATGCGTGAATTCAAACCTCCCTCTCATGAAAACTCAATTCTATCTGTGATTCACATCGCACGCTAAACGTTATCATGACAGTCTCTACGATATACAAATATGGTAACCTCAATCTTGACGCTTTGGCTCAGCTATAGCAAATTGCTTATAGTTTGAACAACACATGATGAGACATGAACATTTCTCGACTGAAAAGCTTGCTAAAACCATTGTATATAGTGCGCAATTTGATTCACGTAGAGCTTTGAGTTTCTTGTGAGCGGGCAGTTCAAATTCCTCGTAACCAATGTGAAATAAAAACGTTAATGTCTTCGTTAAGAGTTAATTTAAGTAATTTTCGTTGTGCGAATCGTGCTCGACGTGAATTTCTGACTGGGAATATGTATCAGAATGCTTAAATTCGTACCTTCTCTGGTGGTCCATTCTGGCATCAATGCAACTTTGTGTGGAACAACATCCAAGGTTCTGTAGAAGGAGAGCAGCTGTCGGTGCGCCCCGTGCAACAAGCAGGGAGCAGGGAGCAGGGAGCAGGGAGCAAAGTCAAAGATAGGGTGTGTTCTAGAGAGCTTAATAAGAAACAATGTAAAAGTGAGCGTGATTCCCTTCGCGGAAATGGGAAAGCGCGGGATTTTACATTCTGTCAAACGGAACTATGTGCCAACTGACGACAACTTACGAGCCATGGGCATGTGACAGAGCGTTGTGCACAGGGCCCATTAGTTAAAGCGGGCTTCACTGGTGCTATAAGGTTCAGTTACACGATCAAATTGAGCCATCAAACTGAAGTTCTGACTGGTGGAAAAAGACCTGAGGTGAGGATGCGACCAATGAGAGGCCCAATTTGATGGCTCAATTTGATCGTGTAACTGGTGCATTATAATTAACTCAAATAATACCTTAAAACTTTCTGTGAATTAGCAACGGATTATGAGCCACCTGCTCATAAAAAATTAAGGCCGAAAATAGCATACGATAGTTTTATTGTAAAATGCGAATAATTTCGGAGATAAAACTAAGTGATGTAAAATGTAGTTGGGCTGATTCTGGGTTTAAACTGTCCGAGAAATCGACTCATTGTCAGTCTGTGCACATGAAATCGATAAATATCGATTATTTTACAGACACTGAGTAGGCTAAGCTCGCACGTGCCAACTTTCAAGAATCGCCCTACGATACGCGCTTATATTCTCCGGAGGAGAATTTGGACTATTTTGGGTTATGTTGGCAACCATTCGACGGGAGGGCTAAGTCCTCGCCAGCTCTTTGTGAATACTTGGGCCTGTGACATTTGTCCGCCTGGATGATTGCACCAGCTGTTGCTGCGCCAGATCTTTCACTGTCCAATGGTGTCAACTTCACAGAGCTGTTTCAACGGTTGAAATTTGTTACGCTGAATAGAAAACGCAGTAGAAATGCAAAACATCTTAAGCACAATTGACCTTGATCGATAAGTCCCTGTTTTACCAATGCTATTTATGAATTATTTGATGAGTAGGGGGAGGGAGATACAAATAGCACAAGTGCGATCCTAAAGCCCTGCACTACCAGTGCGAGACATTATCTCTATAACTTTTAGCCAAATTGAGATAAAAACTTGAAATTTTGAGATCGCTTATTTTAGGTAAAAAATAAGAACGACTTTCGGGAACCCCCCAAAATTATAATAGGAGTCGGCGGTCCCTATCTTCAGCATGTAAACTGATACTAAGGTACACTTTTTGGCGCTCCTGGGTACCAGATGCGCCCTTTCCAGCCGTTCGGGTCTCCGGATGTAACATGTACTATGGTACATAACCTTTTGCCTTGTAGGTAATGACGCCATTCTGGTACACACGCGATAAAATTTGGATGTTGTTCTTCTCTGGTATTTGTAAAAATTCTCGTGAAATGTTTTGCTTTCAACATAAGATCCACGCACGGACGTATTACCTAGTTACATTATTTTAGGGCCTCGTTATGCTTAAATGCTTATATCTGAGGTAGTACTTTGAATAACAGGAACAGACCTTCTCGTCTGTAGTTAGAAAAAAAGATGAGGAAAAGACAAGTTATTGAAAATCCAACCATAAGATTCCGAGAAAAGTGTACCTTAAAATAAAAAAAAAAAAAAAAAAAAACATTGTTTTGAGAAAAACCTGTATAAAGTTGTGAATACGCACTTGAGGGTTGCATCACTAATCACGTCTGCCACAAAACGTCGCATGACTTATTCAATAATGATCAGACTTACCTGGTGAAAATTGGCAGTAGAATCTGTGTTCCAAAATACCACAGACCTAAAGCCAGCTGTAAGATTTTCAATAGCTTCTATAGTTGGCTGCACAATTTCTTTTATTCTTTTTTAGCCGATGGCGATTAAGCAACAGCCAGGCGATAAAAAGTATGCTAAATGTTACTAATTACGGATGCTAGGACATAGTGAGTTTTTGGACCGCAGCTCTATTTTTGGGCCGTAGTATCTTGATTTATTTTGCGCGGAAAGCTCCGTACTTTTGAAGGATGCCTGCCATTCCTAATATGTTGGAGCGCCTTCGATTTCGTATGATACTGTGCAATACCTCTGCTGTGAAATAGTTGCTTCAAGCGCCGTAGCTCGCTGCGGCGCGGCGGGCGAGCAGCCAGCGCGAAAAGCGCATTAGCGCCTACAAACCTAACAGGGATACTTCACGCACTGCGCAATGCGTGAAGTATCCCTGTTGGGTTTGTAGGCGCTAGTGTGCGCTTATCGCTGGCAGCACGCCGCGCCGCTTCGCTCTGTTTTAGGCTCCAATATATAATCTCGCGAAGTCAGCGTTTTTCAACTCATGATTTTGAAATATTTGCACATCCTGTATGGATTATTCTCATTTTAATTGATGAAAAAAAAATATGTATTAACTGAAAATATATTGTGTGTTTTGTAAATGTTATGGTGGTTCCGTATCAAACTTAATGATTTTCGAAGCACACGGATTTCTACACAATTTCTTATAGCCTTTTACAGCCGATGGCGATAAAGTGTAAAGCCCGGCGATAGGAACTATTGCCCGGCTGTATACCGGGCTATACTTTCGTATAGCGCGGCTGTATGATTTGCTCAGCTTTCTGCAGCAAGCTATATGATTTTCTATTGCCTTCTTTAGCCGGCTATAAGAATTCCTATGGTATTTGGAAACGCAGCTCCTGTCGCCAATTTGTACCAGGGTTTAAAAACTTCTGTTCAAAATACTGCAGCTAGAGTAATCGATTATAAAAAAACTTACAGAAAGTTTTGTTGGGGGAAAAAAATGACTGCCGACTCTCCTTATAGGGACCACCCTGAAAAATGGCAAGGACATTAGAGGTTACAAGTTTGGTGCGATACTTTTTGATCACCCATGATTCAATTTTGGGCCCAAAAATCGGTTTCTGCCGTTTCGTGTTCGGAAGTACTACGTTTCAGGGGTAAACAAATCGTGTCCCATAATCGGACGTATTTATAAGAAAAGGAACTATGCGCAAGTTGAAAGATGGGGTGTGTGCGTAGAAGCTGGATAAGAAACAATGTGGTCAGTGGATACAGTTCCTTCTGAGAAAACGGAAAAGCGGGATTTTCAATTAAATCAAAAGGAACTGAGCGCTAACTCGTGAGCCGTGGGGATGTGACAAGACCCTCGTGGACAAGGCTCATGAGTTAAAGACCGCCTCTCTGATCGTCGTTTCTCTCGTCGTTGCCGCTGACGTCACTGCCGCTTTATATTTCCCATTCATTCTTATGGCCCGAGCACTAACTAGCACACTCCATCTTTTCACTGGCACATAGTTCCATTTAGCATAAATACGTCCAATTAATTGAGCGTCTACTGAAGCTTCACGGAGAGTTGAATTTTGCAGTCCTAATCCCACTTCCTGGAATCTGAGTCTATCATTTCGGAAATGGATTGTTGACTAGTATTTAAATAAGCTGCCCGTGTGCTGATCTAGCAACCGGAGGAGGGGAAAACTTATCAATCATAAACGCCAATAAATGCCAGTCACTAGGAGCTACACTATTTGACGGGTAATTACAGCTCATTGTTTCAGTTTGTCTCAGCTTTTCAGCATCCGTTTTAATTTAATCTCATTCCTCGAAACACTGTTGCCACTAGTTTTAATTCAATTTATCCACGTAAAATTTGAACGAAAACGGGATCTCAGTCGTTAGATACAAAATTTTTCAACAGCGCGGTCTTAGCGCTCGTTGGATCGAAAAATCGGATTTCTTTAGCGTCATTAAAAAAACGTTGTTTGTGATCTTTTTCATTTTTTTACCTCCAGAGGCCAAAAATTGGGCTTCATTCTGCAATAAGTAATTTTTTTAAATGTACACACAAATTAGACAAATTCACAAACAAATCTAGGAAAATCTAGAAAAATTGCACTAAAAGCACGTTGAAAACATCTGAAATGCTAAGAATCCACCTCTGGCTGAAATATAAGAAACAACATATGTGCTATTGGTTCCCTCATGGAAGTAGGGGTATTTACATGGGTGAGCAAGAAATGTTAGTTTTCCATGGCAAAATGTAGTTTAATTTACATTAAGATCCAACAGTTTCGTGCCTTGAACATGTAAGAATGAAATAAAGTAAGCACAGTATTTTATCAAAGTAACAGTTACCGACACGTTGACAAGTTACGGTATTTTTAAAATTGGGCTTTACAGACTACGCAAATTATCCGTTAAATAGTAAAGTCTTGACTTTTTAGATGCTTTCAACGTGATTTTAGTGCAATTTTTCTGGATTTTCCTAGATTTCTTGGTGAATTTTTCTAATTCTTGTGTACTTTTAAAAAAAAGTCTACCCGGTCGGCTTTATCTCTGAATGCGACAGATTTATTTTGGATTTTTGTGTCGTAACTTTTCGTTTTCCAGACGAAGGAGAGTTACGCAATATCAAGGTCACAAAGTAAAATAGCTGTGCAGTTTCTGTCCAGCATTTTGTCGATTTTTTGGAGTGATCAAAGTATAATTTAGTGAAATATTCATTTGGTAATGCCTGACAGTTTCATGGTATAAGAACACGATTTGCGAGTGAAAATTTTCCGCTGACATGGGGTCACAATTTTTCGTCCGGGAAACTTTGAATCGTAAAGTCTCTTTTCCGATGGATCAGGTACCTACCCTAAGCTTGATCGGCAATTTGGCAGCGCTGATTGCGGATGCGTTTCAAGTCTGGAAGATCGTTGCTCGAGGCCCCTCCAAAATCTACCTAATTACTTTCGCAGCGGGAAGAGCGGACGATATTATCGGCTTGTCGAAATTTATACTCCATTTAAAGCGAGGGAGAGCCCCCGCAAAAGGTAAGGGGGTTCGGGGGTGGGGGTTGGGAGTAGGGTGGCAAGAGAGGGGAGGGAGTTGGTTGTCCTTTCCACCTTGTGCTTGAGGGAGCTTCTCAAGTCCAAAGATACTGAGCATTCGTCGACCGAGGATCTTTTGAGTTGAGGTACATTCCCATGCTAAGGAAGAACGCCGTATGAGCCTCCAGACGTTGCCAAATTTTATTTGACAAATGAAGAATTTCCTCAAAATTTATAATAATTTCTCCTCGGATTTTTCGGAGAATTTTGTTTGTAATTTGATCTAAAGTGTCTAAAAGTTTCAAAGCAAAATATTTATAACTTTCCTTGAGAATATTCTTGTCTGAGAGGAGATTTGGCAACATTCGAATTCTCTTACGGCGTTTTTTCTTCGCGCGGCAGCACGTTGCTTGAGAGCGGGCGCACAGCTAGCGCAATTGAGACTTCGATAGCGAAATTGGCCTCTCGTGGATTAGAGGGTCCTATGTATAGCGGAGTGGTCGGAAGCAGAGACAAAATCGACGACTTTGACCAGGATCCTATGTTTAATTCACATTCCCTAACAGCGCACCGAAAAACAAGTTTGTTTTGAAAGCTGATAGACGGATTAAACTAAAACTACCGAAACTTGCAAAATAGTGAAAAATGTTTTTAAGCAATTTTAGGAAACGCAAACTGATTGCGAAAAAGGAAACGATTTTGGCATTCTTAGTTTCGGACAAATTCTTTTAAATGCTAAAGAAATTATTTTTATTGTTACTGAATGTTAGAAAATTCAGAAATTAACAAAAATGTTCGTGAACATCTTTTTTTTACCACGGTCTTGAAGCGTGAAAAAAATATTGTATCATATTTTTATAAACATTTCAAAAATTATTATAAGAGGATTTTAGATTAGAACTCTTTAATGAGGGGTTCAACATTTTTGAAAAAATGACCTAAGGAAATTTTAAAAAACGCACGACTGTCACCATGACTTATTTTCTTTAACATCTTGAAGTCGTCTTTGAGATATTTTGGTTTTCCCTTAATTTAAATTAACTTCTCCAAAACATTTTCTTGTTTTCAAATATCATAAATACGTCATTTGCATCATGCATCGCCGTGCTATCAAGGTTGCTAAAGAGCTTCCAAAAATGCTGTGCCTCTTTACTTCGAGAACCCAGGCAATTTATTGAAATCGTCGTCTTTTTGCACACTAGGACGTATAACTGCATTCCAGAGTTACAGCCTTGAATGAGTCTATCCAAGTTTTTTGGAAAATATTAGCGTAAAATTTCAGTTCTGGTGCACACTAGTTGGAAATGGCGTGGATCGCGGTGTGTCCGGCACCGAGATATTACAAATTTTCAACGATTGAAGCGCGCACCCGTAATGTGGTGAACGAGAAATGCGTGAAGTATTCCTCCACTCATGTAGGCGCTAATATGCGCTCCGCACCGACCAGCGACTGTACTATTCGTTAGGCGCAATGCGTGAAGTATTCCTCCACTCTTGTAGGCCGCAGCGGCGGCGGCGGCACTATTTTTGGCGAGATTAGAAACAATGATACAGCATTCGATTTAAAGAAACTGCAGAAACGGAGGAGGAATAATAAGTTTGAAGAATGGCTGGACAAAATTAATGAAACGGTTCATACAGAGTGCAGACAAAAGTATTAGATCATCATCATTCTGTCAATGCTTATCCGAATCAATTCTGAATTTGATTCAATCGTACACTGCACTCTTTTTTCCCTTGCCCATATGTTTTCATCCAATGGTTTTTCATATGGTTAAGGTTTTAAAGGAGGCAGTATTGCCTGTAGATAATGAACTTCATAAAAAGAAAATGTCCCTTACCAATTCAACGTCTCACTTTACTTGAAGTATTGAGGCGAATACAGCAAATGATGCGTTCCGAATTTATAAAATACCATAAGGTAAAAAATTGTCGTCCTGAGAAAACCCCGTTTAAAGCTTCTATAAATCATGATAACTTGTTTGCTTGAGTTAAGTTAGGTTAGGTTAGGTTAGGTTAGGCTAGGTTGGTTTAAAGCTATGCATTATATAAATGGCGCGGCGTTATTGGGATGCAAGATTGCATTACTCTATATGCGTAACAAAACTTTGCATGACTGATGAAATAATGATCAGATTTTTTGTGTGGAAAAAAAACAGGGTCTTGAATCACAGCTGAGAATAAGTAAAATTCGAATAGACATAAAACAGAGGATACATTTTTCTGTGACCAAAAATGACTCATGACTTCCCTCGACGCGTCAGCACAGTTCTCGCGTTGATAACGCAATTAATAGCCTATTCCAGGAGCAACAACCTTCCTTTGTCCATGATGGTCGTCGGGTAGCTGAACTGCAAAGCCGCGATGAGGGTAGTGCATCACCTCGAAAAGGTTGGGGTGCGCAGGGCGCGAGTTGGGACGACAGAGCGCGCTGCGATCGCTCCTGTTCATCTCGGATATATTTCGCGCTACGCCGTCTTCAGTAGCAGGCTGACGGACTGCCCCATCTACCCACTCATTTTCCCGCGAGATCCAGTCGCGCGCGAAAAATCGCGCCTCACCGGCCGGTTTGTGATCACGCGGTTCCAGGGGTTTCGGGAAATTTGCAAAAGCATCGCCTTGAAGTTTTGATCGATTAGATAAAAAAATATACGAGGAGAAAAATTAAATACTTGAAACAATAGACGTGCGAGGTAATTTTCTCTTGGGTTATGATGCATTTTTTTTACGAGTTTTCAAAATTATAGCATGATCATGTTGAATGACTCCTGCCCTGATTAGTTATGTGTTTTTGCGTCATAAAATGAATAATGTCGTTTTACCGAGTGAGATCGAGGTGGTAAGTGTTCGTGTCGGAATCCAGGGCCGAATCGAGTTGGTTTAGACAAAAAAATTGCCCAAATTTAGTGAAAGGTATGGGAGGATGGTACTTAACAGTGGGGGAGAGTGTGGTATCTCCTCGAAATGCTGACAAACGGTTCGGCGGACAATATCCTCGCGAGAGGTAAGTCCTTTTTACCGATACATCATGTTGTTCTTATAATCTCTCTGAGTCTCCAAATTGTTATTTCTAGGAAAACTCTCGATCGACATTATTTTTTAGGCCGAATTCTGTGCTTTTTGCGAATATCGACTAGTAATACCACTCCAAGCCTACTCCTACTATAAGTTAATCCCTGTTTTTTCAGACTATGCGAGGAATCGTAAATTTCTCTTTTTTAAACAATGCAAATTTTAATTGTTTGTGATGGTCCCTTATAGATATCATCGGGGCTGATAATTTTTGCAGCTATTCCACCGATAGGTAGTGACTCTCAGGCGAGTGAGCTTTCTCTATGGCTTTCTCTAAAGTTTTGAAATATGACCGGAGAGGCCTTAGCATGGGGGGGTTGGAGGTGAGGCATCCTGAGGGGGTAAGGCCGTGTAGTGATTAGATAATTCTAGGTTTTAGATGTGCTAAGGGAATACAAAAAGGCGTGGAAAAATGTTATAAAGAGAGTTTTGATAAAATTAGAAACATTTTCGGCCCTGCATATGGCTCTGACATCATGCAATTTGTGTTTTCAAATGTATTCAAGACAAGCTAATCTGATAGCGGATCTGACATATTTATGTCCTATTCTCTCGTCAAATGCTCATGAACAACTCGTTGCGCTTGATGAAAGTTCCCAAAATCAGTTGATAAATAAAATATTTGTGTGTACGTTTAAATTAAAATTTGCCAACCCAAACCCGCTAATTGCTTTTAAAAGAAACAAATAAATAAAATAAAAACACTGAATTCTAATTTTTTAGAACAAGCAAAACGTTTTAATTTTTCAAACATCAGAACTGCTATTGTTTCGTTGATATCGAAGATTTTTTTTACATCTATGGTATTTTGCATGAAATTTTAATGAGAAATAATCGATTGTACTCTTTGACTTCCAAGCTTGCTCTGTAGTTCCTTTTTGGGTTTTGTCGAGAGGAGTTTTGTCTAAGTAGTGTAAAGTAAAGAGACTCTAGTGACGCCTAACGTCCGTATAATGCTCGCTTGAAGCCATGAGGGTCATTTAACGCTGATATGGAGCAATTTTCGCAAAGAGAGTTGTCATATTAGCTGGAGTCCAATTTTCAGTTTTAAGTCTCCTTGCAATTTTGTCCGTTATTTGCTTTAAAAGCACACAAACGACTAAAGTTTTAATTGTGATTTTCTCACTTACACTGTAACTTCCGTTAAAAAACTGCTGTCACGTTTCGAGTCGTTTTTTAACTGTTCATCAGAGACTGATTTGCAAATATTTGGACCCATATAGATCAAAATCGTGGCGTGCTTGCAGTATATCGGTTAATCTGCTCCTTAAACCCATGGAAAAGGATCGATGAACAGGGTGTTTGCAACGAACACCTCAATAATCGATTCTTTACCACAGCCTCAAATGGGAAAATATCGATAATCGATCATTCACTGATTTAGATCAAAAGGAATCATATTTATTTGGACATGAGCCCTGGCATGCACGAAGTCTTATGGATCTCAGGGTTCATGTCAGAATGAATGCAGTTTCTTTTGATTTAGATGCGTCAATTTTTCGTTTTTTCCTCCTCGGGAATGCTGTCGTCTCGGGACGCGCACACTGTCAACTAACGTAAGTAATGTGAAAACATTAAACATTTTGTTTACGTGCTTCTTGTGCAAATTCGCAGGAGAGAAAACTTCAGACGAGCGACTGCTTTAAGCGCATAGATGGATAAACTTTAAAAGTAACGTTATTACTGACTAATTTCGAGTTTTTCTGCGATAAAGAGCTCTGGTCTTGTCATTCTATTTTTCTGCGGAACAGTTTAAGTGTTGAGCTGAGTATTTATTTTGAAATTTGTATAGAATGTTTTGTCAAAATAAGAGTTGTGAAAAAATGTTGTGTCGATACCACAGTTTTTTTTTTATTATTTATTTATGTATCACTTTTCCCTCCACACGTTGAGTTTGTATCATTCCGGGCTGCACAATAAACATCCAAAAATTCCAAATATTTACCCAAAAGCCAGCCAAAGTTCGAAGGCAAAAAAAGAAACGCTGGAGGTTTGAGACACAGTGGTCAGTCTAAGAGGCGATTCACGTGGCGTGGCGTGCTTTGCGATGTATTGCTTGATCTGCCGATTTAATCTATAGGAAAGGATCGATGAACAGTGTGTCCGCAACGAACGCGTTAATAATAGATTCTTTACCACGGATTTAAATGGCGGGGAAAGGAGAATTTGCGCACAAAAATAGTAATGCTTCATCTGAGTGTGCCTAATGAGGTGAGTTCGCAGTATTTTTCACAATTTTTTCTGACATAGGAAATTGGAGAAAAAACGGATTTAAAAGTGAGAAAATGTGCCACCTTATGACGTCATCAGGCGGCATTTTCCATTTAAGCAAATGTATTTTAGTAGATTAGGTTATTTTGTGATATTTCCTCCAATAATAGTTCAATTTAGAAACCAAGGATATCCTCGTACTCAGTTTTCCTAGTTAAATCATTTTAAAGATGAAATCCACAAAATTTTAGACACCTGCAAATTCTCTAATATCGATAATCGATCATTCACGCTTCGCCCCTGCGTACGACTCATTGTTACTTAATCCAAATACCATCCTGAAATTTTGACCAAAAGTTTTTGAGAGCGTTTTGTATCAAAAACTGAAAGCCGACTTTCCTTGCCTTGAATCTAGTTTTCTTGTTACACTGAAAGATTCCAATTTCCACCTTAAGACTCCTCTACCTGACTCCATGAAAATTTTTCCACACCGAAAGAAATTATATGCTGTTTTAACATCAAGGATGTCAAAAATGTGCCTGAAGATCCCAAGATGCCGTCTTTATCGCCTCCGCAGTTTAACTTTCCATCCTGTGAATACAAATTCAATTGCGCGGCCAATCCAGGCAGCATCTTAGGATCGCCAAACACATTTTTGACATCCTAGGTGCTGAAACAGCATACCATTTTTTGCAGTGCAGGTACGTACGCCACACAAAACGTCGCCCCTCTGAAGTAAGGGCATATCTCAATTCCTACATGAGCCCTGTTTTGCATATGAAGTCATGCTATCTGGGGTTCACGCGGAAATCGAGATGCACCCTCACGTCAAAGGAGCGACGGAAGAAGGGACCAACGAGGAAGGTATGCTCCGGCTTGTAACCATGTGCGGGTGGACATTACTGAAAAAAAATTCTCGGCGTTTTTACCAAGGTCCGTTGGTACCTTTACCATCTCACTTTTTTTTACTAATTATTGGTAATTTTACCAAGACAGACTGGTAAGCTTACCTAAAAACCGGTATTTTTACCGTTTTTTTAGGTAAGAATACCATTTTTATTGGTAATCAATTCCCGGCAACTTTGCCATTTTATCTCGGTAATTCTACCACAGTCGATAAAAAATATTGGCGTTTTTACCGGGGATCAGTAAAATTACCGAGATTCCTATGTAAAATTACCAATTCCATAAATGGTAATTTTACCAAGAAAAAACTCCGATCAAATAGAACCCTGAATTTTTGGTAATTTTACCCTTTTCTTGGTAAATACACCGAGAGTTTTTTTTTCAGTTCAAGCGTCAAGTAGGGGATCTCTGCTGTGTAGTTTGGCAACCGTGATGATGAGCTTCGTTCTATACAGCACGTGACTAATTACAGGGGTGAACCTCCCTATAATTTCTTCTTAAACGGCGACTAGGACGATGACTTTAACATTCTGTATGATTTTGGACCCGCAGTGTAGAACAGCGCATTGTGTTCGTGACATTTAACAGGAAAGGGATGTAGTGACTTGTTAACCTCATCATGAGTCTCCAGTTTCAGGACCGTATTTATAGTCACTCCTCAAATAGCTTCTTGCTTAATGCGGCTTTAAAATGTTTACATCATCTTAAAGGGAATTTTAGGATTTCCCCTCAAGCAACATCATAAAAAGAACAATTTTTTTAGAACTTGCGTGACATTGAGGGGTTCGGCGGAGAAGGCGCATAAGTGCAGTTTTTGCTATTTCAATTAGTACGTGTTTGAAGTTCCGAAATCATATGGACTTTTATGGCGAAAAAGAAGTTCAAACTGACTTTTTGATGCTTGAAAACTGGAGTTTTGGAGCTAATTTTTTACAGAATATGGATTAAAACAAGTTTTACTTGAATTCAACATCTCAACTTTTTTAAAAAAAAATGGACTTATGCGTCTTGTCCTCCAAGCCCCTCAATTCATCTTGAGTTTCAAAATAGATCGCCTTACGAGTACAAGAGGTTATGTTTTCCCACAGCAACGATACGAAGTATAAAAGAAAAAATTCTTTGATTCTGCCAAACTTTAAGGCAGGCACGGACGTATCTAAGATTTGTTCAATATATTTTCTTCCATATGCTTTTCGTATCATATATTTTTTGCGGTATGAAACTATTGTCAAAAATTAAATGTCGTGGAGAGTTGTCCGGAGGTTTTTTCGTCACAAAAGGGCTAAAACAAGGCTGTTGTTTGTCACCAACACTATTTAAGGTATACCTAGAGCACGTGTTAAAGGAATGGAAAAATAAGGTTGCGGGAATGGGCGTTGCACTCCTTGATGGGCAGACCCTTTATACTCTATGCTTTGCCGATGACCAGATCGTTGTAGCTCAAGATGAGGAAGATGCAGATTACATGACGCGAAAGTTGGTCGAAGAATATCGGAAATGGGGCATGGACGTTGGTGTGTCCAAGACAGAGAAGCTGGTCGTGGGAGCAGCGCATCAACGGCAAAGCATAGAGCTTGAGGATGGACGGCGCATCGAAGAGTGTGACGAGTATAAGTATCTCGGTGTTTGGCTCGATCAGGATGCGATCAGGATGGATAGAGCAATTAAGGACAGGATCATCCAGGGCAGGAGAGCCATCGCGATGCTGAACGGGGTGCTCTGGGATCAGAGCATCTCAAAGGCAAACAAGCATCGGATATACGACGCCATCGTTAAAAGTATCGTGCTCTATGGTAGTGAAGTGTGGCCTTTGAC